CCCCCTTTCTGTTTAGAGATGATCCACTCGGGCAGGGCCAACCGCTGCCAGCCTACCCCAGGAGAAACCAGCTAATCCACAGCAAGGACGGAGGTGCGTCCCGGCTCACAGCCGAACACACGGGCCGGTGGGCTGGAAAAGCTACTCTGGCCACCGGGAGACTGGGGCCAAAATTAGACTCTTGGGAGGAGCCGATCCTGCCTTGTCCCCTGCCCAGAAGCCCCCTCCCCTATGGCGCTCCACCTCCTCTTCCAGGCTGGGAGACGGGGGTATCGCCGGCGTGGGGAGAATCACGAGGTGACTCCGCTCCCAGCCCATCACTAAACTCGAGTGTCTTTGTTCTGGGGGCACGATGGGAGGGGGTATGCTCAGGCCAGGGATCCTGACAAAGTAGTTGCTGCCCCAAGAGGTCCCCCATCCCTTCCCTACTCCATTAGAATCCGGCCCGTTATCCCCATGGGCTCCCCCTCTGCCCTCCCATGGCCAGTGGTCCCCCTCTCGGCACCTTCATGAAGTTGATGTCCTCGGTCTTGTCGAACATGACCTGGACGGAGCTGAGCAGTTTCTTGGCCTCCTGCATGCGCTCGTTGAGGTGCAGCACCTGGGCCGCGTTCTCGTTGCAGAACTTGGCCTGGGCCTTTTCCAGGATCTCCATGGTCTTGCGCAGGTCCTCGTCCAGGAGCTGGTGCATCTTCTCGTACTGCAGGCGCACCTCGTCCTTCAGCTGGCTCACCTTCTCCTGCCGGGGGGGAGGAGAGAGCGCCCAGGGTCAGCGCCCGCCACGCCCGCTCGCCGCAGAGCCCCGCCCACCGCCCTCGGGGAGAGAGGGACGGGGACAGGGCCTGCTAGTGCTGTGCCGACATCCCCGGCCTGCCCCGCCGCTTCCCCTTGACAGGCCAGCCCTTCACCTTCGCCTCAGCCCATTGACCAAGATATTCAGGGCTGTGGAGGTATTTACAAGAGGGAACAGCGTGGCCCTGAGGGTCAGGATGCCTGGGTTCCATTCCTGGCTCGGGGAAGCGGGGGGGAGCTGAGGAGTGATCACAGTGGATTAATCAGTGTCGCCCACCCAGGCCTAGCTTCTAACAACCCAGAGAACAGCCTTTCCCTGCCCTCTGCCCCACCCTGCACTAACTCCATCCAGAAGCCAACGCGACCTGCAGCCGCAGGCCTCGGTGCACTGCCTCTGCCGTGCCTGGGAAGGGCCGTGATGGGTGGAGGAGCAGTTCCAGGGCTGTCTGCCAGCCGGACCGTCCCTGGCCGTGCAGCTGAGCAGCCTGGGAACTGCAGAGGTCCCAGGGCGGCTGTGGAGGCTCATGGCCTCTGCTGGGATAGCGAATTCCCTCCAGATCCAAGCAGAGCGCCGGGGGTGTATGGGGGCTCAACTCCGCCCCCGAGCAGCCAACTCCACCAGCGAGGGGAGCTGCCTCCAGGGCCCGTTCAGGCCTTGAATCCTCAGCCTAGCCTGCCCGCTGAGGCCAGATCCCTCCACGCTCACCGGCTTGAGACACCCCCCCGTCAGTTTCACCCGGAGCCAGCGAGCTAGAGCTGAAAGGCTCCACGTACCCCCTGCCCTGCCTGAGCCCCCCAGGGGCGTGACCTGCCATGCCGTGGGGCCATAAAGAGGAGGGGGACGGAAAATATTAACCTCGGTCTCCGAAGTCTCCCCTCTCCTGTGGATTTCGGCGCTTCCCCCCGACGTCTCTATATAAGGGTCTCGCACCTCTGGGTCCCCTGCCCTGCCCAGAGAGGCGTTGGCACCCAGCTTGGCTTGGAGTGTATTAAGATAGTTCCCTCCCCCACTCCCCCCCCACGCTCCTTCCTCTTCCATGGCCCCGGGGGAGAGCAGTGAGAACCCCCAATAGCCTGATGGAGCTGGGGGCAGGCAGAGGGGCTGCGTGGAGCTGCAACGAAAAGCTCTTGTACCAAAGGACTTTCCCCCACTTCCCCAACCAGGGCTGCCTGGCTGGCACCTGAGGAATGAGGCACAGAGAGACAAACCCAGCCCCGGCTGCATCCCAGCCCGCCAGCGTCTGAGCAGGGCGCCCCCTCCTCCCCCGAGAGGGCAGCCCCACATCAGCCCCTTTGCTCCCCACACCCACGCTTAGCCCCGGCTTCACTTGGGGGTCCATTCTGGGCCCTGACTCCCCTAATGAATCCGGATGGCCAGCAGCTCCGGGAGACCTCCCACCAGCATCGGGCCCCTGCTGGATCCTCAAGCAACGCAGCTCTGCCCCGGCCCCGAGCAGAGAGTTAACTCCATGCCAGCTGGACCTCTGTGCCCCTAACCCCAGCATGCCCAGCACCACGGAGCCGCAGCCGCCTCGAGGACGGAAGGCGATGCCCGGGCAGCCCCCGGCGCGGGAGGACTGTCTCGTGCCCTGCTGCCGCGCGAGACCCTGCCTTGGTCGACGGGCGCGGTCACGAGGGAGGGAAAAGCACCAGCTACCTCGACCAGCCGCTTGTCCGACTCCAGCTTGTAGAGTTGCTCCTCGATGTCCTGCTCCCGCTCCTCCAGGCGGTCCTGCTGCTTCATCAGCATCTTCTGCAAGAGAGGAGGGGGGTGAGCGGCCGTTAGGTGAGCCGCAGGGCACGCGAGGGAGGAGAGACGCAAGCGGGATCGGCATTACACAACATCAGCGGGGCGGCTGAGGTGGCATGCCAGCTACCGGGTCAACCGTTCAGGGGTCTGAAATTCCCCAGAGCCGCCTGATCTACGAGGTCCCATCCCAAGCACCCCTCCCCAGCTAGCAGGCAGCATCCATCCCTGATTCGCAGCCTCTCTGTAGTGCCAGTCTCTGCCTGGTTGGTTTTTTGGGGTAGCAATGACGATGGGGAGGGTCTTACAGAGCGAGAGAGACATCCCCGCCTCCTCCCTCACAGGGGGACTTTATATTGGTTCTTTCTTGGTGGCTTTCGTGAGCTGATAAGGAAACTCCTCTAGGCTGAAAGCCTGTTTGTGCGTGGAAACCACGTTTGAAAGGTCAGCGTTCCCTCTCCACGCAGCGGGCCTGGCCACTGTGGGGTCTGACCCGTTTCTGTTTAGGACCCTGCGTTTCGGCTCCCCGCTACGAGCGACACTGCCCAGCCCTGTCACAGGGACAATGACCATCACAATTACCCAACGGGCCGGTACTGACTGGGTTTGGCGGGGCAGACACTCTGGCACCCCAGCAGGAGGAGATCTGGGGTTCCGGCTGGCCTGGAGGAAACAGCACACCTTTATAAACTGAGGGAGGAGCTGCTGGCCCCACTCACAGCTGCCTCCACTAAATACGCAAAGATATCTATCCACTGTCCCTCCCAGACCTTCGGAGAACTATAGGGCTGTACTGTATTCCTGGGGTCTCCCGTACGAGTCCCCTTTGCCACAGCCGCTTCCTATAGGACCACCAGGTCTGGTTACGAACAAGTGTTGACGCAATCGGAAGGGGCTACCAAGAGTAACAGCGTAAACAAGACGAATAGAGAAAAAAGTGCATCCCATCTGCTCCCCATCCATTCTCCTCCCTCTGTCCCGTGTAGCCCCACTTCCCCATTATTCAGGGACAGGGTTTGTGTCTAAGCAACCAAGTAAAGAACCCAGGGAATAATAATACTGGCAATAAATTTAACAGGCTGGCTGAGCATGTTGTAGCCCTCTCTAATGGCTGGTAAGGATAAGAGCCTACTACACCAGCAACTGACTGAGTTACTCCTTTAGCTCTAGAGATAGAAGCTGATGCATAGGGACCGAAGTTTGCAAGTTCAATCCCCACTCATAACTCCCGGTACAGGGTGTTACATATACGTGGATCTTACTACTACTAAGTTACACTTCTAGAGGCCTTTCCTACATGAGAGGATCCCAAAGTGCTGTGGAAAAGAAAGGTTACTCTCATTCGATACACTAGGAACCGAGGCAAAGAGAGATGTCCAAGGTCACAAAGCGAATCAGTGGAAGAGTTGGGTACAAGTGCCGGATCTCTTGACCTCCAGTCCAAATCCCTATATTCCCCAATTCTTTCAGGGGTGATGACAGAAGGAACTATTTATAGTATCGCCTCGCTGATCTGAGTGAAATGTGCAGTGTATAGGAACAAGGCAGTATCCCTTTTAATAGCTTGTGAGCCCTCTAGTGACGCTCACTGGGTTCTATGCTGTAGACACTGCCAGAAACTAGTCAGACCAGCCGTGTGCCTGTCCCCAGGCCTCACGTGTTCATGTATATTTAGTAAACATGGTTATTTGGGACCTAACTGTGCCCCCGCGGTTCCTTTGCATTGTTTCTGTTGTGTAAAGAGCGAAAGACACAACAAGAGGGGCGATACGAAGGTAATGCAGATAAAGAGCGTTTCAGATGCGTCCCAAAAGATGGGAGAAGGTGACCTCATTTCTGAAACACGTGTTTTTTGGATAATAAAGATTCAGCCTAAACCAAGCTTGCGAAATCCGACTCCCACCACAAGGAGGTTTTTTGGCTGGGGGAGTGAAATATCATGAGATGTTTTCTAGGCTGATCACTGTCAAGGTGGAATCTGGAGCTGGGCTGGTACATTTTCCCATTGATTAAAAAGGGGGTTTCAGGCTCCTCCGGCGAGAGAGGACGCTCTGGCAGGTTCCCCCCGACGGCAGCGCACTTGGAGAGAAGGTCCGGCCTTGAGAATTTAGGGATGAGAGAGGAAAGAACATTTTCAAAGCTGCCCCGCAAGCAACTTCTATTTTCTAACTGGGGGAACCTTGTTCTGGGAAGAGGACAGTGTATTTTCCAGCTTCAGCCAGATGGAAGAGACATACACGCACACGCCCTAAAAAACAGAATAAATTAGAAATCCAAAAATGGCTACAACCATATGAGTCATCTGCTAAACAGCTTGGCTCGGCGGCCCGGCATCCCTGCCAGAAGGCAAGCGAAGAGCCACTGGTATAAGATCAGCGCCGGGCAACTCCAGTTGCTACGTCAGGGGCGCCCTGCCCGTAACACACACACAAAGAATTCTCAGACGTTTGCCCTTAATTCTTCCTGCATTAATCCCATCAGAAAAAGCCGCTGGGCTCCTAACCGTTAATGACCGAGGCAGAAGGGAGGGGTCGTTGGGAAACGAACCGGTTGGACACGGCACAGCAACGGGGACATGGAGGCAAATGGCAGCAAAGACCAATTTTGAGGGGATTATTGCTAATATAAACCAGCACTCGGGGATTTATAATCAAGTAATTAATTCCTGGTCTAAGCAGGGGGAGGGAAAGCGGGAGAGAGGCGGTGGACGGAGCTGCCACGATTAATTGCACCACAGGGAGAGGCTGAAGCCTTCAACTTAATTCGTAAGCAAGAATTTGGAGCCTCCTCGTTTCTTGTTTTTCTGAAGGTCTGGGGCACCTGCAGCCTCATTAACACTTGGATAAGTCAAGCACTAGTAGACGAGTGGGCCCTCTTGGGTTTCTTCGCCTCCAGCCTCGGTCCCTTCAAGAGATACTGATGGGTCAAACTGGCCCCGAATCTCAGCACTGGATCAAACCAGCATCCCCCAGTGGGTCTGTACGCAGCTCCCACTCTGCTCTCCATGAGGACCTGAGGGGGAAACTGACTCGCAGCACTAGTGGGCCTGACTACATGCGCAATGAACAGGAAGGAGGTGAGGTGTGTGCGTCAGGAACAGCAGAAGCACCCTAAAAGTGTGTGGGAGGGTGCCCCCCCTTCACCACCCCTTCTCCCTGAGCCCCGGCTCCCCATTCCCCCTCGAGGCCCTACCCTGCCCCTTCTCTTCCCCACCTGCCCCTTTCCCCGAGGCCTTGCCCCCAGCCTCTTTCCCCCAAGAACCTCCCTGCTCGTTCCTCTCCACCCCCTGCCCCCATTGCTTACTCTTATGGCTTTGCCCTTCCCATTTTAAAAGTGGGCAGACCACGGCTCCCTGGTCCCTCCCGTTCTGGTGCCCCTGGTGTGTGTGTGGCTCTAGGTGGTTGTAAGAAACTGGTGTTGGAGGTTGTGGATGTACACACACACACACACACACACTTACACACTTACAGCATTATTAATATTTATATTGCAGTAGCACTGATTGGCCACCAGGGAGAGCATGGCCCTGCTGTGTTAGGTGCTGTACATACGCAGAGTGCGCCCCTGCCCTGAAGAACTCACCATCTCAACAGACAAGGCCACGTGGGAAGGGAAGCGGAGGTACAGGGAGGGGACGTGACCTGTCTACGGGGTCACACGTGTCAGTGGTGGAGCTGGAAACAGAGCCCCGGTCGCCTGACAGTGCGATACCCACCCACTGAGCTTCACTGCCCCCCTCATCACTCCCCTCTACTGGCTGGAATAAGAACCTGCCCCCTTCTGTGTCATAGGCCTTTAAAAAGGCCAAGTACAATAACTAACCACACAGGAGGCAACAGGAAGATTTGAGGCATATTAATCCTGGCTCCCCAGTCTAGCAGTGTCCGCGATCCAGTCCACCACTGCTCAGTCTGGGCCAGACCTCTCCCTCCTTCTGCAAGCCACAGAACCATGCAGCTATGGAGCCTGCCAGTGCCCGTTCCTTGGAGCCTGCATTGAGTGTTTTTTAAGGCCCGGCTTGACAAAGCCCTGGCTGGGGTGATTTAGTTGGGGATTGGTCCTGCTTTGAGCAGGGGGTTGGACTAGATACCTCCTGAGGCCCTGTCCAACCCTGAGATTCTAGGATTCTATGAGTGCAGCTTGGCCAGACCCCAGGGTAAAGCCCCCTAGGTCTGGACAGGTGGACCAGTTAGCTGTGACCTATCCCAAGAGCACGTGCGTTTAAACACGTAGCGACTTTGGAGCAGAGCCCCGGCGAAGGCCTGCTCAGGAGTCGGGGTCACTATTCTGGATGGAAAGGCCTATAAGGCGCTTTACGGTCTGGAAGGCAACAGCTGGTGTTTCCCCACATGGAATCCAACGACCACTGACTGATGGGAAAGTTACACGCTGCAGCTCAGTCCTTTAGCCGCGTTAACTCGAGCCGTATTCTGCATTGCACAAGGCACAGACAGATCCCCGCTCAGCCTCCCTGCTTGGACTCATTCGCACTGTCCCAAAGAGCGCCACCGACCAGCGTCGCCCACATTTTCTCTGCCGCCCCATGGGACTCCAAGACTTCCAAGAAAATAGCTCCATCCTGACGCTTGCTTACTGCCAGCCACATCGATGGCTCCCACTCCACACCCAGAACAAGCGCCGGACTATTGGGAAGAACTGGGAATCGCCATGAAAGGAGATGGGCGTTTCCAGCAGGGTCAATGTCAACGCTGGAATGCATGTGGGCATTTCTCTCCTAAACAACGCGGCCCGCTTGGAGCGGCATATCTCACTCACAGCGGACGACGGGCTGTCTGATTCCCCCAGCCCCAGGCCAAGCAATGTTTGCCACTGACATAAGCCAACAATCTTCATCAAATGCAAGATCTGTCCAAAGGACCCTGCTGATTTTTGTGGGTCACTTCTTCCCCGATGACTGGCTCCTGGTTCTCCTCAATCAACACGCAGGGACCCAGCCGGAGAGCTGG